ATATTAAAAATTGAAAAATCTTTCCACATGATTTTACATAGAAATTTAACGTTTCAGGTTGCATGCTGTCCATCGGTAGATCCAACTATATGCGCTTTAACCATCCAGCCGAGGCGAAACAATTACGATCGGTACTGCCACACTCGAGAATCTCCATGGCGCCAATAAGCTTCTCTCTGCCGGACGGCCAACTTCAAGAGAACTATCATCTGGAAAGGAAACCACCGGTTGCACCGCGAAAATCTCCGAGAAATTCTTGCTCGGACGAGGAGATGGGTTTCCTGGGGAAACTAACGAAATTCGAGATGTTGTCGAAGCAGAATAGGAATAATTGTGTCTCGCCAAAAGTGTTTCCAGCGGGCGCCATTACAACCAACGTGCCCGCCGATCAAATTCTCGGCCACTCGAGATCCTCCAGTCTAATCTCGCTAAAGAATAGCAACAACAATTCACCTTTGCAAAATTTGACGAATTTGGAAAGAAGTTGTCCGAATACACCACCCGGCCATTTGCTCAACACATCCTCCCCAGGCGGTTGTTTCGTCTCTTCCTCTCCCAACTACTGCAGCGACGAGAATCGTCAAAGGGCGGAGATCAGGCCAGTCAGTAGATCCAGCACACCTAACCACCAGTATCAGAACATTTCGTCCCCGAATCACAATCAGATTCAAATGTACTCGACGGCAGAATCGTATCTGAAAACCTACAAGCCATACTACCGAGACAACAACAACGAGAACAACAATCAGAGTCAAACGACGCCGAAGAACAATGTTAATAATCAAGCGGAGCTAATGTCACGGAGCTTCACCTGTCAAAGATCGACCGACCTGGACGATTTGAGAGATTTCGACATGAGTCAAAGTCTGATCGTGACCAAAACCACCACGACCGAGTATCTCCAGTTGGAAAAGTTCGGCTCGAATCCTAACATCTGCAACAGCCCTAGCAACGGGAATTTCTGCGGTGCAAACTTGAGGAGCGTGGGCGGGGCGCAAGGATTTGGATCGAATCCGAATATCAAGAGGATACAACCGCCTAGCCCAGCGTTCAATCGAAATCCGAAGTACAACGAGCCGAAGAGAGGTTTCGGCCGGGTGAAGAGCCCGACCCCCAGCATTGGAAGCGGTTGCTCGCTGGAAGAGCTGAGGGAGAGGCAGATCGACGCGGAGAATAAGCGACGAGAGGCGGAGAACAAGAGGAAACAGGCGCAAGAGGAGAGGCTACGGGAACAGGAGGTCGAGAGACAAGAGAAAATGAGACTCGAGGAGATCCTTGCCATGTGTGCCGAGTACGAGAGGCAGAGTACCGTGGAGAAGCCCAGGCAACCCAACAGGTGAATGGGTTATTTTCATTGACACGAAATCGTTTACCGTACTCTTTTGATATCGTCGTCCACGATTGTTAATCGTTGTATGTAGCGTGTAGCAATTGCAAGACTCTTCTTCTCTTTTAGGAGAAGAGGACTTGACTACTTTGTATTTTTGAATAATAGAAAAATCGAATTGTAGATCTTCTCATATAACAATACACGCTGCATGTTTTTATAAAGTATTATGTCAAAGTAATTTTTGTTGTATTTCTGCTAAAATATTATCAATAGATCTCTTTTGTACTTTAAGTCTCTACAATATCTCGATATTTTGTTTCACAGAATCAAAACGAATGGCTCGCTACCACGAGACAAACGCCTCGGCTATAATTCACCCTTCGACAGCCCGAAGAGCCCATCAAAAAGTCAACCTCACTTCTCCTTCGACACCACGAAACAATCAAACTCGGCTTCGTACGAGAACGTGAACGTACAAAATTCGAAAATGGTGTTCCAAAACGGCAACTCGCCGAGCAATCGTCGAAACCAGACGACGAATCATCCGGACAATCAAACGCAAGATCATCTACAATCAATTGTGCCAAACAATAATAACAATAATCAATCGACGATGTGGCCAAACGTTCTTGGCAACGGGGACCATACTTTTTCCGGCTCGATCTCGCAAGCTCGTAGCTCAGGCTATGAGAATACAACCATCGATGGATCGATGTTGAACAATAACGATGTAGGTTATGGAAAGATCATCGATCCAACGAAAGACACTTACGGAACGATCCAATTGAACGGGACCAGGATCAATGGGCAACAAAACAAGTATTCGCGAAATTATGGTAACTCGATGAATGGAAACGTAAGCTTATACGAGAATGTAGTGATTAATTCCGTGCAGAACAACAATCAAAACAATCATTCCATGCCAAAGAAGAATGGCCAGTTGTCGAACTCGTGCGAGATGATCGAGAACAAGCTGGCGATATCGAACGACGACCTTCTGGAAGCTATCGAGCAGCTTTCCATGCTTTCCAAGTCCAAAGAAATTTGCACGATCCCTAAAAAGAATAATTCGGAGAAGGACAACGCGAAATCGAACGAAGCTAAGGCTGAGAAAGAGAGGAAGGAACTCGAGGAAGAGGATAGGAAGAAGTACATAGAGTTTCTTCAGAATGAAAAATTGCATATCCTTGGTAATATGGATATATTGAAGAGGAGCGTGGCGGATATTGAGATTCAAGAGGAGGAGATTAGTAGGGAGGTTGGTGTGATTTAACTTTTCTTTTAACTGATTATGTATAGGCTATAGCGATTGTAAGAAGATTAGAGTTGCAAAGTATTTCTTGTATTTTAAAAAAGAATATGAAAAATATTATTTTCTTCCAATTTTTCTTTCTGATACCAATTTTAAAGATATTTTTATTTTCTTTTCAACGTTAAAAGATATGAGTGCGTTCAATATTAAAGATCATCGACAGCTCTTTATCCCCTTATCTGAGTTTGTCTTAAAATTTATCATTTGTATTTCGCATAGAGATAAGATTCTATCCTTTCTTCTTCGAGCGTGTTCAGTCATCATTCGTTCATCGAGCAATATATTAAATCCTAGAAAAAAAAAAAAGAAAAAAAAACGATAAAAATAACATGAGGAAGCTCGTTTTTCTTTTTTCCCCATTCAAATTTTTAAAACAAAATTTAGAACAGGTTGTTAATGAAACTTTTACGATACGCTCGAAACTTAATAATTTTTTTTTTAACCGATCGTGTATTTGCATTGTGTGTGAACAGCTCGAATTAGAAAAGGCACTGCTCTCTGCAGAGTACGAGTCGGAATCGTTGAAACTGAGTCAGGACGAGGGCGAAAAGATAAAAGTACAGATGCGGATAAACGAGCTCGAGAGACAGATGGCCGAGGATAACACCAGTCAGGCGAATTTGCAAGCAGAGGCGAAGCAAAGAGTGCAAAGGGCTCAGCAGACTTGCAGCCGCTTGGAGGAGGAGTTGGCGAATTGTACAGAGGAAACCGTGCAACAGGATATCAGTGAGAAGCTTATGGCTCAACAAGACGTCCTCGAGTCAGAGAGGAAGGCATTTGAGGATTTGGAGTTTCATCATCTGGAAGAAGAAGCGAGTAAACTGGCTACTAGGGAAGAATTACAGAGGTAAATCTATTTCATGTACGATTATATGGATAAATCCTTTTAAATCCTTGTCGGTTTTCTATTCTTCCCATCCTCTTGGTAATAAATCGTTCTTTCATTATTTTTGTCACTATAAAAACTTAGCTTAACACTGTCGTGATATGAAAATGTGATTAAAATATAATTGATACTATTTTTTGAATTGAATGCACGAAGTTTTGAAAGGAATTGATAGAGAAAATTTATTGTTAATATATTTTGTAAAGATATTATCTTTATGAAAAAATAATACATATGATCAGAGTTAAGAAATGTATATATATTATAGATATTCTAATCTTATTTTTATCTATGATATATTTCTTGTTCTATATTCCGTTACTATTTTAAAATTTATTTTTAATTCTTTTTTCACTTGGCTAAAAAGAATTTACAATAGAAAACAGAATATTTCTTCTGCAAAACTATTTACAAATTTTCTTTATTATATGTATCTTCAAGATGGTAATTGACATTTGAGTTTAACATAGAATTAGTGATGCAAATATCTGTTCCAGATACTTGAGCGAATTGACGGCCAAGATAGAGACTAGGAAGGCTCGATTGAACCACTTGGAAGCGCAGAGATCTGAAGCGAAAAGCACCGCGACTAAAGAAGCTAGAAGTCTCGAAAGACAAAAATTAACGCATTTGAAACGGTTGGAAGAAGTTAGTAAACGTATTAATTTCAATTATAAACCATCTACTTTAAGAAAACAAATATAAATTAATTTGTATTTAATATTTAATCTTTGATTTTTTGTTTGATCTGTTATCTATTGTCGTGATAGGGTCGAAACCGAGTAAGAGCGATTAATGATGAACTGACAAAGTTGGCGCAAAATTCTTGTGAGAGTAGCGATGAGAAACGATCTCCGAGCAGGGAAGACTTCGACAGGATCTCCAGGGTCACCACTGACTCTCCCATTGTAAACAATCAGGGCAGCTTGGGAAGGAAGACTATCGAGTCCCTCAAGGAAATTGAGAGAAATCGACAGCTTCACTTAGCAAAACAAGGTAAATATTACATAATTTAATGTAAATATAATAAAAATTAGGTAACAGAGTAAATAGAGTGTTTGACATTTTTCATAAACTATTATATAATAAAATTCAATTACAGTGATCATTTGTGAAGAATTCCATGGGTATGTAAAAGTTAATTAAACTAGATAATTTTCAGATGCATTAATTATCTACAACAAGTATTTTATCTTTCTTTTTACAAAAAAAATTTTAAAGCGTTCAATTACAATTCTTCTAAAAATATTTAATTAGATTTTAGATTTTTACTATCTATACATTTCATTCGTTTTGTGTACGAAAAAAAAAAATAATATATATATATATATTGGTTAAAATTAATTCAATTCAACAATAGTTTGATCCAAGATAGTAAATATGAAATTGAAGTGAAAAATTTTCTTTAGTAATATAGTTGTTCTTACAATATATGTATTAATTAAAGAATTTGATTTAGTTAACAGGTACTATTTTATTTTTTTATTATAAATCAAATTGGCATTGGTTTTCTCTATTACAGGCAGCCAAGTAATTTCGGAAGAAAGACGAAGAGTAGAAGAATTGAAACGAAGAGTGCAAGACGAAGTTCGGTCGCAATGGGAAGAAAGAAAGTTGAATTGTACTTCTTTCAACAGCGTTGAATCAGGCGAAGAATCCTCCAGTTACTCAACGGGGCCAACAGAAAGGTGAGTCACGTGTTCAATCATGTCGCTTTTAAGATGTAAATCGTGCATTCTTCTGTTTGCTTTTCTAAGGAAGTGAAAACAGACGAAAATTGCACGGTTTGCGTTCGACAGTACAGCACGTCAGAATTTCAACATTTCCATTTCACGATTCATGTGTTTTTCTCGATAAAAATGTCCATCTTGAGAGACGGAACAAAGGAACGAGTATCTTTGTCAAATTTAAAACGATATTTTCAACTTTTATTGTCTTTTTCTTTATTTCAAATATAAGTAATTAAGAAATATGTATGCAAATATCATAATTTATTTAAATGATAATGGACATGAAATGAAAATGTGGACATTAACTGACTTTTTTTTTTAAGTTTTAAATAGCATGATTACATAATATTTAATAAGAATTAGAAATGTAAAAGTGACATGATAGTGTTTCTCAGTAAGTGTATAGTAAATATAGTCATTTTATACTTGTGAATGACGAAATTGCCTATGAATGATTATACATGCCATCATTTTCGCCAGTAATGGTTCTATATATGTGTTAATAATAGAAAAGATTTTTCTTCGTTCAATAAGAATTTATACGAGCAAATTTCATAAATTTCTCTTAAAATACATATAATACGTATCAAATATCCTTAATATCAAAGTTAAAGAGTCACTTTAAAAAAACGGTACATAAAATACAATATTTCTTTTCCAAATTTCATTCCTTTAAAAATTTATAATTTTATCGTTGAAATTAACAAATTCTTTAATTTTAATAATTGCCATTATATTACATAATCAAGTGATCAATTACTAAACTTCTATTCATATAAATTCCTATAACCAAACGAACCAACTTATCGTTAACTTCGTGACAACATATTGAAATCGATCCAATTCCTAACCAATGGCCAATACCACTCTACCATGGCACCCAATAGATCTTCGCGTAACGAGCAGAAATCTCTTTTTTCTTCTCTCTCTCTCTCTCTCTCTCTCTCCACCGTCTCTAAATGGAACGGATTGTGCAAGCAAGGAATAAAATACGCACTACGCCTCTTTTAATCCCTCCAGTTCCGCGAAACTGGAAACCCATCGAGAGTAAAAGGTGTCGCAGCAGCCTTGACGCCGCCGAGGAGGCAGAAGAGAGGCGTCGCGGGTGTGTATCGCCGCCAGCATGCGTCCGAATCGGCGTCGACGATCACCAGATTACCCGGCTGATTGCGTCGACCGCAATAAAACGCTTTATCGGGCCCTCTCGCTTGTCTCAAGCGTAACTTGGACACGTTCGGGTGGGGTGTTATCAGGCGATACGGTATCTGCGGCAGCGAGCTGCCTTTCCGCGGTTAGCTAACGCTGTTGACACGTCGTTTTCGTCGTCGTCGTCGTCGTTGTCGTCGTTCGTTGTAATTGATGAAAACTGTGTGTAGGAAGAAGAAGGAAATATTGGCAGTTGGGATAGCTTTGATAAGATAGACAAGTTGAAAGTTGTTGGAAGATGTTTGGTGATGGAAGGATGAAAATTAGTTCGAAGATCGAGGCGTAGATCTTTTTGGAAATCGTGAACGTTATGATGAACCGTTGATGAAAGTGCGTGTAGTGAGGAAGAAGAGAATATTGGGAGGGAAAAGATGTTTGAAAAATGGAGGGATGAATGGAGAGAGTAGAATTAAAATTTGTACAGTGAATGAAATACATATTTCCTTCTAAATAAAAGTTAACGAATAAGAAAAGATCTTAAGGAAAGATGTGTAACGAAGAAGATTCTTGGGAGAAATACCTGGATTACATAAACGGCTGTGTTCGATAATGAGAAAATCTTAAAGAGAATCTTACTCATCGTTTTGAAGAAAGAAAAATTTGAAATTTTACTTAAGCGATAAGATAAATGCTCGAACGAAAGACTTGGACGAAACTTGAAGAAACCTTATCGATCAAAGTTTCACGAATGTTATATCGCGGGGAAAAAATATGGTATTCGAGATGCCTCGTATTTCGAGCGTTTCCTGGCTCTTATAGTTTGAAAATAAGGCGAGAAACGATGGCGAGGGATAGAGTTTCGTCGCGTCGAGTATAATGGAAATGATAAATGCAATTTGAATAACATTTATTCGAAGAAGAAAATCGACGCATCGTAGTATTGCGAGATCACACAAAGCAAAGAACATTGCGGCAATGCAAACAACGATGAACAAAGCGGTGTAAAGATTTATTTGATTGGTAATATAATCGTAAAAATTTTAAGCAGTATCGAGATTCATCATAGAACGGAAATATCGTATAAAAAGTTCGATCGATGATCTAAAGAAATCGTCGATGATAAATAACAGGTAATGAAAAAAATTGAAATAATGTAAATAAAAGTTAATCAATATATCATATGTAATTATATTTCATTTCAATAATTGAGAATTAAATTGACAATAATTGAAAATTAAAATTTTCTGTGTAAACTTAAGCGAAATCAATGATAAAACAATTCAATTATAAAAAAAATTATATGATTTCTTTAAAATTTCTTACATACTGAGTGAATTATTGAAGATTTCGATACATAATGTATAACAAGTATCGATTAATCAAACTAGTAATAATATAAATGAATATTTATTTGCAAGAAGAAAATAACAAAAGTGAAAGTATACATAACATTTTTCGAAAAATTTCATAATATTTGAATGAAAATCAAAATATTTTCCTTCGAGCAGAAGACAAAATTATATATAATTTTTCCAGAGCTTCAAGTCCAAGAACGATTCAAATATACGACGTACAAGCGTGTAATAACGCTATTAATCTCGTGAACTGATGCGTGCGTGTCTCGAAGGTGAAAACACAGGCAACGCGTAAAAGATCATTAAAAGAGAGGAGGAAAGGAACGGAAATATTTATTGTTGGAGAAGGTGGTCGAAAGTGAGTCGAAATTAAAGGTGTGCAGTTGAAAATTTGCCAGAGGTCGTGTTCGAAGAATTTCTCGAGGTGAATGCGAAAGGGTTGCGTGCGTTGGGCGCAAGAGGGTGCGAATTAAGGGGACGATAATGCACGAGAATGAACGCGAGGGAGGTGGGTACGTCCGTTTTTAACGAGGCTAGGCTCAGAGGGTGCAGCTTGATCACTTTCCTCACCAGCAATCGGTTTTACGTTACCTCTAAGGATTGGCTTTGCGAGCATTGTTGTCGACCCTTGGAAATGCGCTCGCGTGAACTTCGTCATCGATACTTGTGAGTTTATATAAATTTTGTTTTTTTTTTCATATCGAATTTTTAGAATATTCCATGTTAAATTATAATATCTGTAATAAAATTTTAGATAATAGTGAATTCTATAGAAAGCTATCTCTTTGAGATTTTACGTAATCATTTTTTCAATCATACATACGTAAATATAAAGTTTTATTTGGAAACGTGATTTTGAGGAAAAAATGTTTAAAGTTAGAATTAAAATGATGTTTGTAAGAAACATAAAATCGACACGGCTGTTTTTTTAAATAATTATATACTTGTGCAACTAATGAGAAAAAAATTCTTATGAGATATCGATGAATCAGCAAAAGATTTGAATATTATAAAGAAAATTAAAAAGAAACTTATTTTAGCGAAACAATTCTTTCATTTAAATTTAATTTAATGTAAAAAAATTTTTAATAATCAGAAATTAATAAGTCTTTTTAGATTTCCTAATCATTTTAAAATTCATTTAAAGAACATTTCCTTATTTCAACGGTGATGATTTAACATATTATATGATAAATTTCTTTATATAATTCCTCGCAATGTGTTGCCATCAATTCCAACTAAATTACAAAACTGATTTCACTCTTGATTGCAGCACGTGCTGATGTACCAGAAAAAAAAGAAGGTTAACAGCCAGAATAAATCTGACCTCGATGTTGTCGTTTAAATTTCATTTTTTATTTTACATTCATTTTGTCAAAAGATCTTTATTTAAAATAATCTTCTCGAATTCTAACAAGATAATCACACCGATGGATTACATTTAAACGATCATTTTGTATATCTGATAGATAATTCAGCTTCCTACCATTAATTAAAATAAAGGAAGTTTATTAACGTTTCAAATTGTTTCTTACGAAAAAAAGAAAATGATAAATATTAATATTGTTTATAATTACATTGATTATACGATTTCAACGGATAGATTAATAACAAGAGGAAAAGTTTTGATCGGGAAAACAAGTACTTAGAATAAAAATATTGCAATGACAAATATATAATTAAGTCAATCTTTTTCTGTTTATTCCATGTATATTTGTTTTTTTTCTATCAAGATTAGCAATAATTATATATATATCCTTGAATAATTTTTCATTAATTACTATTTCTTATAAATCACACATCTTCCACGTATTATTCCATGAAATGTTTTAACACATCGATCATAAATCCACATAATATTACATCGAATTTCTCTTTCTGCAAATATCTTATTTTATAATCGATAACACCTCGTAATAAATTTTCATCAAATTCGAGCAACGCAGTGAGAAAACTCGTACAAAGGAAAAAAAACTTACTCCCTATATTTTTCACCAATCATACTTCAAACCAGTGTTTCTCAACCGAATATTAAATCACGTTCAATCATTAACATACTGCTACATATAATAATAATAATAATAATCATCACTCCAAAAAACTTCACTATCCTAAACCACGCTCAAACATCCACGATTCTATCCATCTGTGTAACAACAACGATTTCAGCTTGGATTTCGTCACTAATGAACATATCACGTGGCAAAGAAAAAAAAAAGGATTGAGAAACTCTGCTTTCCAAAGCATCTCTGAAAATTCCTCCCGTATAAATTACAGCTATCACTCTTGCTGCAAAAAACCAGCAAACCAGTAATCCCGCACGAATTCCCTCGTTAACAAGGTAACAGAACAGACGATTGCATCTAACAGGATCACCCAGTATATACGTGATCCGCATTTCCCTGTCCGTGGCGAGGCGAGCACCTCCTCTCCTCCCCTCCTCTCTCTCTCTCTCTCTCTTTCTCTCTCCTCCCCCATGACCATTCCACCTCTCGACAATGACCACGTCCACGGACACCGGGAGAGGAGCATGGTGGAGCAAAACGAGCAAACGGAGAGAAAAAGATGACCCTGTTCCTGTAGGGTCAAGGACAACGTTTCCATAGCAACGGGATCGGGAAAGAGTGTCGCCTCGTATATACGTTGAACATTGTAGAAGAATTAAATGCGCTATGCCGGTGGCACCGTCGAACCGGTCGACCAAGTCACTTTGTACTTGTTAGGTTTTAATAATACCTGCCGCGGCTATGGCCTCGCCGGTAGTGCCGATCCTCGCCAGCTAGAAGAGCCTTCCTCTTCGCCTTCTTCTCTGCCGACTTTTTTTTTTTTCGCGATCTCGCGCCGATCTCAAGTTCGACGGGGCTCGAAATTTGTTCGACGAAGGAAGAAAAGAAAGGAAGAAGAGAAGAAACGAATTCGACCGCGAATCGATGAAAAACGGATGATATTCGACGTATGTGATCGATGTGTGGACGATTGTTTTTTTTTTTTTTTTTTTTCTTTTTTACGATTGTTTATTACACGGGCTGCTCGCTATGCATGTAAAATTCGAGTTGCCAGGTTTTTTAAAGTAGGAAGAGTTATTGGGTGGAAGTTCGAAATTGATTGAGAAGGATTTTGGATTGGTTTTTAATATTGATACGTGATTTTGAATTGGTTGCCGTGCTGTAGTGGCATTTTGGCGGTAGTGGGTGTACGTTGAAGCTTGAAGTACAAGGATGAAGTATTTTTTTGTGATGTTTACGAGTTGATATTGGGAGAAAATTATATTTTTCTGAAAAGGAAATTTATTGTTTTTGTGAATTTCATTGTGATTTTATCAATAGTTCTATTAGTAGAGTGATTTAGTTATTTTTAACAAATATATCACAATAATTTTGGTTGAAACTTAGAATTTCACTAGTTTTTCTATTATTAAAAAATAATCAGATATTACTCGGATATTAAAAGTGGTTCATACTCTTCTACTATTGTGTTTTTTTGTTCGATGGAAACAAATAGGGATTAACATATAAATAGATTTCATGGCAATGCAATGATACAATGGTAGAGTACAGATGAATAGACGATTATGTAACTTCGA